ATAAATAGCTGTCCAATCTTAAACACCACCGGTGATGGATCATCCATACTTTCTGAAGGCAAGCATTCCACTGGTTAATTGTTTTCACTGTTGGGAAATTTGTCCTTAGTTCTAGCTTGGTTCTTTCCTTGATTAGTTTTCATCCACTGCTTCTTGTCCTGCCTTCTGGTGCTGTAGGCTAAACACTTCTCTTCTTCCTTCTTTTCACTAGACTAGACATACCCAATTCCTCCATATGTTTTAACTTCCAGCCCCCTAATCATCTTTGTTGCTCTTCTGTGCACTCTTTCCAGAGTATCAAATTTCTTTTTACATAATAGTGACCAAAACTGGATGCAGTTTGGTCTTACCAAGATATTATAAAATGGTACTAACACCTCATGTGATCCTATCCCTCTGTTAATTGTATTGGCTCATATTTAAGTGATTGTCCACTAGGACTCCACAATCCTAGTACCCTCACCACCCTCCAGACCTTCTGCGCAGCCCTCAAGATCTGGCTATCCCGTCAGGCCTGGGGGTAAAGATTATAATTCGCCCCCACCCGAATGCTGAATGAATGTTGCTTATTTTTTTAATTACATGTTATGTTATATGTCATTGTATGTATCCCCTCCCATATAAGTTGTTAGCCGCCCTGAGTCCCCTCAGGGAAAAGGGCGGCCTATAAATAAACTCATTCTAATTCTAATTCTAATCCCTCTCACAGTTACTGCTATTGAGCCAGATACCACCTATTCTATACTTGTACATTTCAGATTTGTTTTTTTGCCTAAGTATAAAACCTTACTTTTTTCACCACTGAATTTCATTTTGTTAGATAGAGCCTAGTGTTCAAGCCTGTTGAGATCTTTCTCAATCTTGAGCCTCTCTTTTGAGGTGTTGGCTATTTGTGCCAGCTTGGTGTCATCTGCAAATTTGATGAGTTCCCCTTCTAAATAGTTCATGAAGATATTGAAGAGTACTGGACCTAAGACAGAATCTTGGGGTTCCCCACTGCTTCCTTCCTTCCATGTAGATGTAGTTCCATTAAGGACTACACGTTGAGTGTGGTTTGTCTGCCAGTTACAAATCCATCTGGTGGTGATGCTACCTATCCCACATTTTTCTAACTTACTAAGAAGTAGTTAGTGGTCCACTTTGTCAAATGCCTTACCAAACTCCAATTATACTATGTCCACATTATTTCACTCTACTAATTCAGTCACAGAATGAAATAAGATTTATTTGCCACAATCTTTTTGTCAAACCCACGTTGGCTTCTGGTTATAACTTTGCTTACTTCTAGGTGTTTGCAGTTTTATTTCTTGATTATCTTTTCCAGGATCTTCCCAGATACTGATGTCAGGCTGATTGATCTGTAGTTTCCTGGATCCATTTCCCCCCTTTTTTGAAAATGAGAACCATATTATTCTTTTTCAGTCCTCTGATAGTTCCCTTGTGCTCTAGGATCTTTGAACAATATAGTTCAGTAATTCTGAGATCATATCTGCCAGCTCCTTCAGAACTCTGGGTAATCCATCTAGTCCTGGTGATTTGAATTCATCTAGAAAGACAGGTGTTCTCTTACCACTTTCTTGCCTGTTATAATTTGTATTTTGTATCTGTTTTTGGTAACTTTGGTTATTTTTTCTTTTTGCATATAAGACAGATACAAAGAATGAATTAAGCAACTCTGCTTTCTCCTGCTGCCCACATTTCCTTGACATCTTCTCCTGTTAGTGGACCAATTGTTTCCTTGACCTTTTTCTTGTTTGTTACATGTTGAAAGAAACTTTTAAAATTATTTTTGACATTTGTTGCAAGCCTTAGTTCATGTTGAGCCTTAGATTTCCTGACCTCATCTTTGCAGATTCAGGCTATATGCTGGTATTCTGCCTTAGTTATGCATCCCCCTTTCCATTTTTTATACATATTCCTTTTGTCCTTTAGTTTATCATAGAGTTCTTTATACAACCATGCTGGTTTTATCTTGAATTTCTTACTTTTCTTTTTTAGCAGTATTGTGGTGCACTGGGCTTTTATAACCACATTTTTTCAGTTATTTCTTGAGTTATTTTCATCTTTAAGATTTTAATCCATGGAATCCTTCACAAGCTCAAAGTTTGTTGAAATCAGCTCTTTTAAAATCTAATATACCAGTTTGATTTTGTTCTATTATGTGGGTCTGTATTATAGTGAATTCAAATGTGACACGGTCACTCTCCACCAAGGTTCCTGCAACTTCAACCCCCTCTATCATTTTATCTCTTTTGGTAATAATTAAATCCAATATAGTTGACCCTTTAGTTCCCTCTACTTTTTGGATGACAAAGTTGTCAGCTAGGCTCATAAGGAACCTATTTGATCTCCCACTTCATGCAGAATCTGTTTCCCAGTTGATGTCACGGTAGTTAAAGTTCCCCATTACTATTGTGGTATGTTTCCTACATACATTATTACCTGGTTAGCAAAAAGTTCATCTATTTCTTCTGCTTGGTCAGGTGGCCTGCAATATACACCCAAGGGAATGTCATTATTTTCCCCCCTTTTATATGAATCCATATGCAAGGGGTACAAGTGTAGTGATTTTTTAAACATATAATGCAACTTCACCTTCTCTTTTGTTAGGTCTGTCTGCATTCTATCTATTTTGCAGGTCATTGTCCATGTTGCTTGGATCCTTCCCTATGAATTATCCTAGCCAAACTCCCACAGATATATTCACTATTTGCTTCCTGTGGTGTATTGAGCACAGAGAAATTCTAGATGAAGACTAGATTGGACAGAAAGAAAAAGATAGGTAAAAAGAAAAGGGTACACACTCCAAAAGAGTTTCCCCCTTAAACTTCCTTGCTAATCTCCCTGCTAAAACCCTGCTTCCACTCACACTTGTCTCATCATGTCATTTTAAGTTTTTGCTTTTTCTTTTCTTCACTACCTGGATTGTCCATCTCAATGTGCATTATCCTGTGGGGATATTGCTATTCCAGGAAGCATTGAAGAAATATTTTTAATCCTCTAAAGGTTTCATGCTGCTATATGGTACGTTGCCAAGAATTTTAAGGCCCTGGATGGCACTTCATCACTTGCTGCTTGCTTACAGTGAATTACATTTGCCATTTTAAAGTCCCTTTTCCAGGCTGGAAAGATCAATTTTGGAGATGTATGCCATATTGCTCATCTGTAATTCCAGGTGGTTTATGAATATATTAAAAAGCAATCTCACTGCAAATCCTTGGGAGACCTCACTTTGGATACTTCCTCCTCATGAAAATTATCCATTAATTCCTTCTTTCTGTCACCTGTTCTTTAATCAGTTAGCAATCTATTAAAGGACTTCAATGAATCAAAGAGTTAGAAAGAACCCACAAGCCACTGAGTTCAGTTACTCAGAAATTAAACCTCTCCTTTTATCCCAATGGTGTTAAATTTACTCTAGAGTCTTAGTGAAAGTCTTTTTGAAGCCTAAACCTTGAATCACTGGAACAACTTGGAAACAACTAATTCAAATTCCAATGGATAAAATTAAGCTATGTAGTTCACACCTATTTATATATGCAGTTTTAAATGCTGTGAAATAAGATTAACATTAGAAAAACTCTTTGTTGTTTAACAAGATGTGACTTTCTGTATACTTACTTATTTATTAATAATAATTTATCCAGGATATGTTAAAATTCTCTGGCCTATAATTTTCTGTATTTACCTGTACAAAAGATGGATCTACAATTTTAAAAAAATTGGGACTAAAGGTAAAGATAAAGGTTTCCCTTGCACATATGTGCTAGTTGTTCCCGACTCTAGGGGGCAGTGCTCATCTCTGTTTCAAAGCCAAAGAGCCAGCGCTGTCTGAAGACCTCTTCATGGTCATGTGGCCGGCATGACTAAATGCTGAAGGCACACGGAACGCTGTTACCTTCCCACCAAGGTACTTGCATTTTACTTGCTTTCAAACTACTTCCCACCAATCTACTTGCATTTTTAATTGCTTGGTTGGCAGAAGCTGAGACAAGTAATGGGAGCTCACTCCATTACGCGGCGCTAGGGATTTGAACTGCCGAACTGCCAACCTTTCTGATCGACAACTCAGTGTCAGCCACTGAGCCACTGCGTCCCCCAAAATTGGGGCTACTTAGTCTCATAGTTCAAAATGTATTTTTCATCCCAAGTTCTATATTTTAATGTATACCAATATTGTGTTCAATGAAAAGCAAGTTCTTTTGGCTGATCTTTGATCCTAATAAAATGAAACTGAAAATTTATGTTGTTTGGTGGCTAACAAAATCCCCAGTCTACATTTATCTGGATGGAGCAGATGAAACCAGCTTGTACTAGTATCCACTAAAAGCAAATTGTTCAAGAATATTTCAATATTTATTTATATCCCACCTTTATTATTTTTACAAATAACTCAAGGAAGGAAGCTCATCCAACACATCTTCCTCCTCCTATTTTCCCAACAACAACAACAACAACCACCGTGTGAGATGGATTGTGCTGATTGAGAGGGACAGGGCCAAGGTAATCCAGCTGGCTTTCATGGCTAAAGCAGCACTGGAACTCACAGTCTCCTGATTTCTTGCCTAGTACTTTCACCACTATATCAAATTGGTTCTCTCTTTCAGAAAAGCTTCTACCACAAAAAACAGGTCAACACCCTACCTCCTGAAAAGTTGCAGATTTAATGCCACATTGCTGCCAAAGTAAAATCAGTTGGAATATTACTATTCGGAGAGAAATTCAGAGGGATTATTTTTAAAATGTATTTCTAAATAATGTACATTTAATGAAATGTTCCATGATCATTAATGACTACTTTTTTATCATAGGTTCCATTAGCTGTCAGGCAAACAAATTAAAAGCAAAAGTGCAACAAATGCAAAATATAAGACCCTGTATATATATAAATGTTGTTGTTATTAGGCTATTAAGCACCTGGTTTGCTTCTTTTAAAAGATCCAACATCACCACCACCACCACCACCACCATCATCAAAATCAACATTGCATCATCCTTACCTTTTTTTGGAGAACACAATGGAAAATGAATATAAACATTCCCTGCAGAGAATTGAAAATGGTGAAGAGGTACGCCATGATCACCGTGCTTTCATTAATATACATAAGTCCAAAGGCCCAGGTGAGTCCCAATAGGCAGAGGAGAGCTATTGCACCTATAACCCATGACCTGTCAAGGAAAGAAGGAAGAAAGGAAGAAAGAAAGAAAGAAAAAAGAAAGGACAGAAAAGAAGTGTATTTGACTGATAAAGAAAACAATTCAATGAACACAACAGTATTTTAGATTATTCTTTGATGAAAAGAAAGGCAGAATGTGAATATTTGTGAGAAATGAATTTTTTGAATTCAATGCAGTTCATTATCAAATTCATAATTTGAAGAAAATATATAGATGGGAAATGTCATGAGCATGAAAATGCCTCTCTAGAAAAACAGGCTTTTAGCAAATGTTTTCGAGTAAAGCAGTGTAGATGTAATAAAATATAGAGATATATGACACTGTAGAGGAAAATAAAAAATAGTTTAAATTTGCCTCCTTCCCTTACATGCCTAATTTTTAAAGCTTCATCATATTGATCCTACATAAACCACTCTGGGGAAAAAAAATAAGGACAGTTAACAGAACAACAGTCCTATTATTTTTAAAAAGTGCAATGGTGAAACACTAGCAGATGGCTTTATACATTTTGTATATTTTCTGCAATTAGCTGGCTCCAAAATTCTTTGCATAATGTATTTTCAAATGAATTGTATATTGAATAACCTGAACCAAAATTTAAATACAATGTAGACAGCTTTCAAAATAAATTTTGTCCAACTGTTTTGTTGTAAGCATTGCTTGTTTTTTAAAAGAAGAAATTCCAAAATAGTGTATTATTAACTATTAATAAGTACTGATTTTCTAGATCCACTTCAGTCTGAGTTCTGTTCTGGCCTAATTATAAGAGAATCTCCCTTGGCTAATGTGATGGATTACTTTCCCATGAAAGGAACATAATCAGTATGGACATGGTATGGACAAACCAACAACTGCTGTCCATGGTACCAAAATGAGAAAACATGTGTCACGATGTTATAATATAACATCTGCCCTTTTATTTCCTTGTGTCTACATGAAAGTTACATATCAATGTAACAGCGCACACCATGTAATGGGCAAAATTTGCATTGTGATATTGTAATGTACGATTCATCATTCATCACCTCCCTTTTCCATTCTGAAAATGCTTTCAATCTGTTCTCCTGTGGTATTTTTCTGCTATGCTTAATTACCATTGATTTCAGTGTCAACCTGTATTGGCTCTATGGATTAGGAACTGCTGGAGTTCTGTTATGTACTCCCAGCCCTGCTCCTGTCCTGGAGCAAAGCATTGGGATAAAGTACTGTAGTTTGGCCTCCCAACAGTCTTTCTATGGAATGACTCAAATTACTTACAGTGCCATCTATAATAGCTATGAAGTGGCTTGATACAGTAATGAGAACATTTAGGGTGAGGTGTTATCCCAACTCTATTACTTGGTGACCACAGAATCAGAACAGGGCATGCAAATCTTAAATTGTTGCTTGAATGCAATAGTGGAAAACAGATGAGGGTCACATCAATAGAACACAAGTGTTGTGGGTCAGTGGCTCCTGGGTAGGAATAGGAATTAAGGGTATTCCCTATTCTGGATGGAACTGTAGGAACTGAAGGAACAGATTCATATTCTGAAGGGTTTCCTAAATCTGTCATTGCTGCTCAATTACAGGTGATCTTTGTGGATCCCATTGCTGAATAAAAATAGATTCGCTACACAGATTCAGGCATCAGTAACTTAAAAACTCACTAATATAATCCTTCGGAATTTCTAGAGCTTTCCTTCAGAATATTTTGGAACCTACAGTTCATCAACTAGGCTCCTGAATAGGGAACATTATCATGCATGTATCTCTGCGCTGGTTGCCAGTCTAGTTCTCATCCAGAGAGCTGGTATTACTAAACTGAAACAGTTGTCTTCAATTAAATTTGTCTCCAGGTACCAACAATACAATTCTCCAGTGAGGCCTTGTTCTCTGCTCTGCAACCTGCAGCTTGACAGTTGGTAGAGGTTTTCTCACAAGGCACCTGTTCCCTGAAATCTTTTATGATGCTGAGCCCTGTGTTTAGGCATCTTTGAAACAGTTGGCTTTGTATGTTTGACTTCCATAGCCATTAACTCCATTGATATCTGGAGAGGGGCTGGATTGTTTTTATTCTATTTCTACAGTATTCTGTTTATGATCTATTTAACTTCATACTTGTCTACTTATTGAAAACATTTCAGGTTTTCAGAATATGAAGCGTATTAATAACACAAAAGTAAGTAAACAAGTATTCAGTGTTTATCACTACAAAATTCAAAGTAAGATTTTCTAAGAACGTACTTAAAAGGTCTCTAAATACTCTTGGGAAGAATTTAGAAAGATTGAGTCCCTACATTACATGTGTCAAACTTGTGCCATCATATTGCAGTCATGTGATGTATCTGCGGAGCTGGGTGGACATGGCCTACATATGATGCATCTGGCCAGCGGGCTACAAGTTTGACACCCCTGCCCTACACCAATTCCATTCTTTAGAAAAACTGTCACTAAAGGAACTAAAAAGATCAGGAAAATAATGGTGAGTAGTAGTGGGAAGTGAACTACCATTTTCCTTGATGATAGAATTTGGGTTACAAAATATTATATGACTTGGAATATTGTAGGTATTGAGACCCAGATTAATCTGAGATTGCAGTGTATAAATTGTGGATTAGCCTGATTCAGGATTGTTCCATTCTGTATAGAGGAGAATACTTCAAGTCTACAACAGGTCATTTAAGTGAGCATACAAAGCATTCCCTTTTTAGCAAGTAGGTGCATGGAGTGGGAAACTACCAGGAATATTGTGTTTGCCTCTTTTTGGCTGTGTTCCCAGGTGAATTTATCTTTATGCACCAATTTTGGTATCTTCCTAAGAGGTCTCAGAATTTCACAGAGCTGATTATACAGTAATAGTTACTAGATCAACTTAGAAACCCGAAATATGTTTGATTAACACCAAAGTTATTCCATATCTTCATTGGATTAGAAATGAAAGAAGTAGGAGCAAAAGGACTGCAGGTGCAGCAAAAGCAATTTAAAATGTATATTATTAATAGATAACGAAGTATGGTAATAGTGAGAGAACTCAGATGCAAGAATTGGCATTACTGGAACTGTTATAGACCCATGTGGTTTGAAATTATGTCAAACAATCATAAAATTATGCAAAAGTTCACATGCCCATTAGGTGCCATCTATGCTTCTGTGCTGCCAATTAGCGACTGTTCAGATTTTTGCAACCCAGTATGAGAGACTTATATATGCAAGCTAATTTTGTTTTCTGTTTGGAAGTTCAGGACAAACAGAAGGAGATTATCAAGAAATATTTGATTATTCAAGGAATAGTAATCCTGAAATATCATGAAAAGTAAAGAAAAACAAACTTCTACCAGCAGATACTATCTTATAAAGAAAGAAGGAATCCAGAAACACAGAAATTAAATTTTGTACAAGAAAATTTTCAAAAAAAACTATAAGGCCATTTACATACCCTAAATTAAATTAATATTTTTCATGAAAAAGCTCGTTATTTTGTTAAAAATTGATGAGTGTCAGAAAGTTTGAATAACCCAGGAGTTTTGGAAATTCCTGCTTCTAAGTTCTGCAGATGTGAGGACCGATTGTGGAATTTTCTTCCCCAGAAACGTTTGATATTAGGAGGCTTGTTGGAAAGCCAACTGGAAACAGAATTGTTATAGGAAATGAAAATCCAGATAGGTGCTTTCCATGTGACCATAGGATCACCGAAATTGCATTTTTTTTAAAAAAAAATGATCTGTGTTGCTACTGCAAATAAGAATGATTTCAGCTTTGTTTTCAGAAAATGGGATCAATTTTTTTGCCCAGGAAAAACTTTTATTTATTTGTATTTATTTATTTGTCTTGTATGCCACCCACTCCCGAAGAACTCCGATCTGTGGACGTGCTTGCTTTCATCTAAGAAGATAGAAGCCTGAAGAAAATGTTGAGGCCTGTATAAGTTGGCCTCTTCATTATTGCTTTCTGGTGGTAAAATAGCTTGTATAAATGAGATTGTGAGCTATACTGCTGAAGCTGTATACTCCCAGAAGGCTTATTCATAACTGACAAGGGATCACAGTAAACAAGATCCACTGGAGGATGGAAGTAATTCACTTTAGTAATCTGTCAAGAAAACAAATGTGTATTTAACAACTAGGTTAATATCAACATGATATTGGAAGATGATTGCCCAGAGACAGGAAGTTCCAGAGGGCTATAGGGGGAAGAGGGCAACTAGTAGAGTGGCACTGTTCCTTTTGGATTAAACCTGAAAAGATACCTTGCTGCTGATATGACCAAAAATAAAAGTTTGATGCTGCAAATTATTTGTACCATCATTATAGCCATGAACCTGGACAAATCTTATGCCATTAAATGCCAAAACGGAAGTTTGATATTCTAGAACTCACTGAAAAGAATGGCAGTAAAATAGGTCACTTAACATGCAAAGACCATCAAATCTTCTGCGTCAGACAAGAAAATCATAGAAGAAATAAAGTAGCCATCAAAGGGTGTCAAAGGGTTGGATACAATGCTACAAAGTGATAGAATGATCTTGATTCTGCTCCAAGACAAGCCAATCAATATTACTGATCCAGATGCTCCACCCACAGATACAGAGGAAATGGAAGATTCCAACGGAATATAAAACTAATAATAATGAAAAGTGAAATATTTGGCCATGGTGTATAAAATGAAAGAAATATATTTTTGGAATTGTGCCTAGAAAATTCAGTGTTTATCACAAATAACCTAAAAGATTACACTAAATATGGCATCATCATATGGACACCATAATTAATTAATTATACACTGCAAAGCAAGATGGAGAAACTATTAACTTATCAATTGACGGTGGTTTAGATCTTGAACTTCTTGCAGAACTGGCATTAAAAAAACCTACATTATCAGTCAAACCTAATATGACCTCAGGAATATTTAATATGTAGTGGTTATGAATATATTTATTTCATTTAACTTGATGAATAGGGTGCCTAAAGAATTCTGCTCTGAAATTTATGAGATTATTAAACATAAGGCAA